CTAATTAATGCTGTTTTAAATTAGAAAACAAATCTAAATACAGTCGTAGCATGACTGCTGAATTTAAAAAAAAAAATTCTTTTAGCAATATAAGTTATTTTTAATAACAACAAAAAAAAAATAACTAAACAAAAGTTTTATCGAATTTAATAAAAATTTTTTTAAATAAATTTTATAATTTGTAATATTTATTTTAAAAAAATTTTTATTAATTTAGATAAAATTTTTACTAAGTTATTGTTAGTTAAAGTTTTAAAAAAATCTACTTAGAAAAAATTTGCTATATTCTAATTAGCTAATTTTCATAGTTCTATAAAATAAATTTCATAATAAAAAATTATATACAATTTTTAAATTCTAATATCTTAATGAGTTTTTAACTAATTTTAATAATCTTATTACTAATAAAATCTTATAACTTTACTTAGAAACTTAAAATAAATTTAATTAATAAATTATTTTGTATTTTAAATTACAAAAAATATTTATTATCAAGTTTATATATAATTTTAAAACAGTATACTCTACTTTTAATTAATACTTAACTAATATTTAAATTTTTAATTCTTTCAAAATTATGATCTTTTATTCACAAAAATTAATTTATTAAACATTACATTACAAGAAAAAAAAAAAAAATAAGAGAAAAAGAAAAAACAAATTAAATAAATATATAATTAGATAAATAAAATTAATTAAAATTTACAATTATAACAAAACTTTTTTTTTTTTTTTTTAAAAAAAAAAACAGCAACTTTTAGTAAAAAAATGATCAGCAGTAAATATATAATTCTGGTTCTGCACGTGTATAAATCAAAAGACTGCAACTTTTTAAAAAAAAAAAACCCTCTTTACAAAAATATTACAATTTCTTATCTACACTCAATTTTTTTTTTTTCTTTTTTTTTTTAAAAAAAAAAATAGTAAAAATTTTTTTTACCAAGTAATATGTAGAACTTTCATTTTTTTTTCAAATATAATAAAACAAGAGTATAAAAAAAAAATCGCAAATGCAAAAATTTTGACTAAGTAAATAGTACGTACAAGAAATTTTTGAACAAAAAAGGGATACACTATACTACGAAAAAAGGGGAATATATGTATGTATATATTTATATTTTGCATATGGACAACCATGTACAGTAAAAAAAGGGTGAAAAAAGATCACAAGAAAAAAAAAAATATGTTCAGAAAAAAAAGGGTAAATTGGTTTTTTATATAATATAAATGCTGACAACGAAAACCTCCAATGGATTTTACGGCCCACCGTTTGGTAATCATCACCAAAAATTAGTGTATATAAGATATAGTTCGATAAAATAAAAAGAAAAATAGTGGTAACGCAGATATTTGCGAAACCAATTCCAAAAAGAAAAAAAAAAAGAAGAAACCCTACCATAATGCTAAAAAAAAATATTGAGCTTGCAATTATATATAACAATGTAAGGGAGTCTATAACCCTACAAACATCACCAATTTATATTTTACAATGCTACCGTTTAAATTTATTCAGAAAGGTGGGGAACAGAACCAATATGTAAATTCGTATCAGATCCGATTGCCGGTGAAGACATGACAGGGGAATTATTAGACGTGCCGAGAGGAGTATGTGAACTGGTAGGTGTCATGACATCAGTTGAAATGCCATCTGTAGCGAGACCACCGTTTTGATTCTTTTGATTTTCTGTGAGGATCATAAGTTTTTCAACTTCTATTTTAATAAAATGTTAACATATTTTCAATAAAGAAAACATTAAATGATAATATAATATAAATAAAGTTTAATAATCTTACTTGAAATGAGATGCTTTCCGTATGTATACTTTTTTAATGATTGTAGATGAGGTTTAATTTTTGCAACAAGTAAATCTCTTTGATCACCATCAACTACATCAAGCATCTTTTGAACCACATAATTAGCATACTGATCCTTCATCATTGAAATCAAAGGCGAAGTACTATCAATAAAAAATAGATTAGAATTTATTATGCAAAAATATATAAAAATATATGTAAATATATATAAATATATGTAAATATATGTAAATATATATATATATACTGTATTATGAATGCAATAATAATACATATAAATTATAAACATACCCATCAGATTTAGTCTGAATAACTTCATCGATCAATAATTGACGATCACGTTTACTACCGTATGCAACACATTTTTCGACTACGTTACTAGCAAATTTATGCTTAGACATTTGCAATACATTACCACGAACTTTAGCGACTACCATTGATTTATCAGCAGCTTTACCACGTTCCAGAACGTGTTGTATAACATAATTTCCGTATTGATCTTGTACTAAATTTTGAGTATATCGATGAAGTTCCTCCAGTAGGGGCTTCTATAAATAAATTTTAATAACACCATCAGTCTAAATTTCAAAACAAAAGTATATATTTTATAGGATGTATTTCATACCGTTTGTTCATCGGTGCAATGTTCGAACATACGTTGAATTACTCGACAACCGTACGGATGTGTTGCAAGATTATATACCTGCCCATGGAAAGCATTTATGATGAACTGAATATGTTCTGCAGGAACACGTTCAATAGCTTTCTGGATGACGTGGTTTCCATTTTGATCTTTGACACATTTAAGAACATTACCGTCTAATTCTTTAACTAAAGTAGCTTGTTGCTCAGTAAGAACATGTTCTAGAGCCTATAAAGAAAATAATAATATTTCAATATTAAGCACTTTGGAATCATTTTTATGATATAAGTCAATAAATTAAAAATTATAGTGACTTTTTTAAATTGTAAATACCTTTTGAACAACACGACATCCATACATTTGTAAAGCTAAAGACAAAACATGACCTTCCATTTGTTTTGCCAATATTGTTTTTTGCATCTGATTACCGTGTTCAAAGAACTTTTGAATCACATAATTTCCAAACACATCAGTCATCAATTGAAGAGCATTAGGTAGAATTTCATCAAAAACTAGTTGTTTCTCTTCACTGTTAGCGGTTTCAAGTTTTTGTTGAATGAATCGCGAACCGTGCTGATCACCACTGAACTCTACTATGTTACCGACAATATCCTATAATAAATAGTTATGAAAAAAAAATAAATAAAAATAAATAAAAAAATAAAGATAATGTATTACAAATTTTGATACGTACTCTAAGTTCATATTTTTTATTCTTGTTATTCCTGAATTCCTCTAATAGGGCGCTTCGCATACCATGACCGGGATCCGAAATACTCGAACTTAAATCATTACTACGACGGCCACTAGAAATACCGCCATAACCACCAATACCATTCAAATATTCAGCAGAATGATGATGTCTTAATAATTGTTCACGAGCAAGCATCATTTGTTGCTGTTTTAATTGTTGCTGTTGAATTAACAACTGTTGCGATTGCAATCGCAAATTTTTCTCTGCTAGAGAAGCACGAGTTTGGGCATTAAGCGAAGTACCACCTAAACCACTCACCGAGCTAAGACCGGAAGTACTAAGATTAGAGCCATAATACGGACTACTTTTTCCAGAGCTATATTCGGATGATAACAACTGGTCACGACTAACGCCCATAGTACTGGAACCGCCTAATCCAAGCTGTTGTTGTTGTTGAAGAGCTTTTTGATAATCAATCGAGTTTCGACCAGAACTTAGACTTAAAGAATTATTACGTGAGTATGGTATGTCAGAGGAAAGAATATTTCGACTTAGCATAGTGTCTTCACGAGGATCCCATACAGACGAATAAGGATCTATAAACAAGATACAAGAAAGAAAATATAAAAGAAGGAATATTCTAAGACACTAAAATACACTATAAAAAAAAAAAAAAAAAAACTTAAAAGACTAAGAGACGAAAATAAATGTACCAAGAGCGTATTGAGAAGAATAACCACCACCGGACGAAGAATTATCATTAAATAAAGAGTTGTACTGCGATTGCATCTTCAAGCGCTGTTGTTTGATTGCTTGTTGCTGTCGCATCATTTGTACTTGTTGAATGGTATCATAGTCATCCTATGTGTATTTTTTTTTTTAAATAAAGTATATAAAAATATATAAATATATATAAATACATAAATATATATAATAAGGCATACAATATATACTTACAGTTCCCTCAAGATTTTTAATATTGTACAAGAGATCAGAGTGGGAGAGATCACCATGAAATTCCTGAGGGAAATTAAGGCTATGATTACGAAAATGATTTTGAGTCGGAGGCGTTGACGAAGCACGAGGAGGAGGAGAGAATTTAGCGCGAAGTGAGGGTGGTGGTGAAGCACCTCTAACATAACCTATTCGATGATCAAAATCTTCAACACCAGATATCATAGATTTGACATGACTTTCTTCAGCAGGTGTTACACGTAGACCACTTTGATAATGGCTCGGATGATTAAGAGACTCTTCGAGTTCAAGAGCGGAACGGAAGTCAACGTCGAATGCATCATTAGTCAATTCAGCAGAGGTAGAATTTGGATCATTTAGAGCAGCTTGACGTTGACGAGCATTTGAATAAAGAGGAGAAGGAGTTCTTGGAAAATCCTGGAGATAGGAAACCATATTTAACCGAATGTCATTTCTTTTGTCCTTTGAAATATTTTTATCGAATGAATATATACAGACAAAATACGCGACGAACAAGGAATCACTTTTTTTCTTTGATTTCCTTCTTTGATAACAGCATATATATATATATGTATTTCTTTTTATGAGATAAGTCATATATTTATACTAACCTCTTGAATCATCTTTACAAGATTTTTTCTCTTATTCGGAGAATGTAGATCGTTATTCATACCTTGGGGAGGAGGAGAAGATATTTCAGACCTCCAAAGTGAAGCAGCGCTAGCAACACCCTGATTTCCGAATTGTTCATATTGACCACTATGAGTAACAGGTTCATTAGAGTAATCTTGTTGTCCAATTGTCGAATGGGATTCCGGTTCTAAACTTTGATCCAGCGGATGTTCGCGTAGAAAATCATCATCCGCATCTAACAAGAATATTGAAGAATATTGAAGAATAAGAAAGAATAAGAGAAATAAAAAAAAAGTTAAAAAGTTTTTATAACATAAAATACATACCCATACCACGAAATTTTTCTAAAACTTTTGGTTTTGGACCTTGAGAACTATTTGATTTATGACTTAGACCACTCAAACCACCACCACCACCACCAGCCCATAATTGCCAAGATTGTTGCCAAGATTGGCCAGGAGTATACAAAGGAGGAGGAAGTCTAGGATCAAGACGAGAGTTCATGTAATAATATGCTGGATAGTCAGGGTCTAAGCGTGGATCAGAAGGTGAAGAACTATCTAGTTCAGAAGGATCAAACCGACCAAGTTGATCTACTACTTGAGTTGGCGGTGCACTATTAGAACGACTGATATCTTGTCGTGTGCTTCCAAAAATATCATAATCGTAATCATGTTTTTCCCTTAAGAGAGCAGCAACTTGCTATAAATCAAATATTTTAAAAGAAGAATAAGAAATTAGAGTGATTAGTACTAGATCATCTAACAATGAAATCTTAAAACAATCACATCTATAATTACAAAAGTATATAACATCTATGAATACAATTATAAAAGTATATAGCATCTATGATTACGAAGTATGCATATATACAATTACAAACATATACGATAAAGATCAGATCAAAGATCGAATAAACTAAGATATGACTAATGAATTCTTTTGACAATATACAAAAAAGAACAGAGTAAGTTTTTAAATAAAGGTTATATCTTACCTGTCCTTGTGGTTTATTATTCGCTTTTGGTTGGTGAAGGTCAGCTTTATTTTTGGACGCTTCGTCCATAATATTACGAGGAATCATCTTTTTTTTTTTTTTTTTAGTTAAATTCTTTCTTTTTTAAAAAAAAGTAGCAAAGTATATATTAAAAGTAAATTAAGTTTTTTTTTTTAAAAAAGAATTTTTTTTTTTTTGTTTATAATGCGGAACTTTTTTTTTTTTTTTAACGCACGCAGGAAAAAAAAAAACCAATAAAATAAGAAATCGCGTGAGACTTGTACAACTTTTTTACTGCGATGGAAATAAAAAAAAAAAAAAATACAAGTTAAAAAAAAATAAAAGAAAAAAAAAAAAGAAACGGTAATTAAAAGAAAAAAAGGTCTAAAGAGAAATAAAAAGTTCCAAGTAAAAAGAAAAATAAATCTAAAGAGAAATATGAACAGCTTTTGTACAATTTTTACACTTGAGAGAAGACCCTCAGATGAGGAGTTTGTGAGAGTGTATATACTTGCAAACGAGAAACGAAGGCAAGAGATGCAAAGGAATATGGAATCGAAGTTAAGAAATGAAAGTGAAATAATAATATTGATTATACGGTAGTATAAGGAAAGCAAGTAAAGGGCATCGTTTCTCTTGCGTCGAAAGGGGAAAGTTGTTAAACCTTTAAGCAGAAGGTTTTGAAAAGAGGTGAAATTTACAAGGGTAATATAGATCAAAATTACCCAATCTATATTGAGAGACACAAAACTCCGTGGTTTGTCAGTTATGTTGTAACACTTCCTAATATTTATTATTTTTTAACTAACAAAAGTCAACAGTAAACACAAATCTGCATAAATATTCTTTTAAACTCAGCCACAGTGTAAGGAGATATAATAATAGTTATATTAGCGAAGACTGTGATACCAAGAAGTTTAGGTATCATAATAATAATATATAAATAGAATGATCAAAGAAAAAAAATAGATGATCAAAAAGTTAGTAAAGAAGTTTAAAAGTTTAACAAAAATAATAAAACGAAAACATGATGTTAAATCAACGACTAATTGTTTGTTTATGATCTAAGGTCACAAGATTAATATAAATAATATACACAGCAAAAGCAGGGAATGGGGCTATATATTATATAGTCCCATCCCCTGCTTTTGCTGTGAGCGTCTATATATGATACTGTAGAATATTTGTTATTATATAGAATTTTAGGGTTAAAAGAAGTAAAATTAATAATGTTTTATCCGGGTACGTAGATATTAAATGTTTGATATTAATACTAGAATGTTATCATGAATTTCATTATCGATTCATTTAAGTTATAAATTAAATGTTATTAATTAATTATATATATATTCATTTATAGAAAGAAAAGGAAATAATAAACTCATGATGGTCTCATGGTTTCAAATGATTACTAGAATCATAATAATAAAAAAAATCGGTTAAAGTTTTCCGATTCATCAAAACATTATAGGTTACTCAATTCCGATTTAAAATAATAAATATTACAATAATATGATATATAATTATTATCATTATCGTTATAAATAATTATAATAATTAGTATATAATTTACTATAACCATAATAATTATATAACGATAATATTTTATTTATTTATAATCATCATAATAATACGTAAGTATACGTACGTATAAATAATAATTAAAAATATTATTAAAATTTAAAACCTCAATAAAAGAAATTTTCCCGCCCATTTTTTAAACCAATAATTTGAGAACATATGGTAAAAAAAGAAAAAGATAAATATGGTTAGAGATTAGGCATAACGGCATCGTTTTTAGCAAGGGCAAAAAGTAATTTTTTAAAGTTATGGATGGAAAAAGCAGAGTTTGGTTAATTATAAATGGGCGTTCGTTGATCACAATAATAAACAAACAGTTACTTTGCATGCTATATTATGTTAAGAACGTGATACAGTTTGTGAGTTTACACGCGTTTCGCCAATTGCAGCCGTGCTAGTCCGATGTTTTTTTTTTTATTAACGATAATCAAAAAGTATTTTTAGTCGGTGTTTCCAAACATTCCAAAATGTTAATCAATTGCGCATTGATGTCGGAATGTTTTGGGTTTGTCAAACAGATTCCTAATTTTTCAAGGACAAATGGTTGTCTTTTATTAACTAGCCTAATTCTCTTTTCAATCCAATTCACAAATACGCGTATCGGACTCGCCTATTGGTTTTGCCATCAAGATCTTAAAATTAAACAAGTTCGAAATAAACAGGTTCAGTTCGGAATTAACAGGTTCGAGAAAGAAAACATTACACAAAATAATTTCCCACACACTCATTTAATTTTAAATAATAGAATACTCGAATCTTTCTTGTGATAACAAGAAAAAAACTAGTCTCTATACAGGTTCGGTAATTCTTACAAGACGGCGCCATCTTGCATATAAATAAACAGTGGCCTCGAAGATTATTATTTGATTTGAGTTATCTGGTGTGTGTATGGTGTGATCGACTGATAAGTCATCTCAATGTTTATTAAGGTTATCTTTTTAATTAAAAATACGTATCATTTACGTATAATCTTATTTTGTTAGTGGCTGATAGAGCTCTTTGTCCAATCGTATATTTTAAAGCTCGACGTTTAAAAGACTTTATTACAACAATTTTCATCACAGCATTATGTCTTTCATTATGTCGTACTATGGCATCATCCAATCATTGTAATCATTGTTATTTGTTAAACCGCTAGAAAGCATCCTGATTATTAACTTTATTATATCACATGCTATTATTTTCTTTCCACGAATGATTTAAGTATAATTACGGCATCATGCTATCGCGTGCATCTTGTGTCTCTTCACATAATCGTATTACATAAACTCATATAAAGTTATAAACTATTCCGCTTAGGTTAAATTGATAAAATGTATTGTGCATTAATAACTTTACAATCAATCAACCGATGATCTTGTCTATGATTAATCTAACCCCAGATAAAATAATAATGCTTCTTCGTATCATAATTACTATCACATGTTATACGTATCGGTATTAATGTACTTACCTACCAAGTACGCACATGTTTAGGTACATGTTTAGGTACATGTCTAGGTACGTACTGTACATGCTTAAGTACCTAACTTACTCCTTATAATTCTTTAGAGATTGTTTGCTAGCAGGTTTCATTAAAATGTGTGTGACAAACAAGTCCTACAATGTGCTTCTTTTTATATTGCTTGCTTATTATCATCTGATTATATCTAATTATTTACATTGACCTGTAAAAACTTGCATGTAAAAATTTTTTCATATGTACAAAATTCCCGTTTTAAACCTGTATAATGATGCGACGCGATGCAAGGTTACGAAAATTTTATGTAATACTATGCTTCTGTAAAATCCTCTTTACCTTTTTTGGCTTGCTTAATTTTTTGCCCGCTCTTTGCTTGTTTCTTTTCTTTTTTTTTTTTTGATATCTAACAAAGGTACACGCGTTATCATTATTCATTTTCGTTCTTGCTCTGCTTCGTTATCGTTTTATTGCATTTTCCCATCGTTTGATTATATCTCTACCAAAAATTATTTTATTCTTCGTTACTTATCCTTGTTATCTATTGGTTCCTGATTGCCCTCTTACTATTTTGGTTATCTCCGATACCGCCTATAGTTTCTATTTCTATTTCTTCCAATGTATTTCCTTATTTTTATTTCTTCCAATGTATTTCCTTATTTTTATTTCCCAATATTGTACGTATCGATTTGCAAAGGGCATAAGCGATGTTATTATATTTATCTGAATATTTTTGAATTTTGGCTCCTCTCTACTAATATTTTTTACCTTTTATATATATATGTTTTTTTTATAATGCCCGTATGCACATATTCAATCTATGAATTCTTGTCTATCTTTTTAATTTTATATTAATCATCAAATCCAAGGGTCAGCTGTCTTTTTGAAATTGACTCAAAATGTGTTTTTTTTTTTTACTAACCAATTCAAGTCTTGCGTTTTTCATAATTTTACCTACATTTAGTTCTTTTCTAATTTGTTATTATTAGGAATACAGTAAATGCATGTAAAGAATTTATTATTATCGTTATCACTGTAGTATTTAATTTGAAACTTGTAAATATTATATTACGTATACAATTTAGTACGTATCAAAAAAGAATATAAAAGAATATAAAATAGTTAACCTTTTCTGTCTGTAACTTATTTCGCAATTTGGCAAACAAGTAAAAATTTTATACGTATATAACGGATAACGTTAGAGAAATTTTAATATCTTTCTAATTTGGTTAATTATCATTTTGATGCTCCATATTTATTAAAATCTTTCTTAGCAGAAAATGCTTCTAAATGATATACTAAATTCTACTGATTATGTTCAGGATGTTATTCAGTTTGGTCTAAACTAATGAACCACAGTTTTGTTTCAATAAACTTACACTAGCTATAGACTAATTATGTCTTAAACCGTTATTGACTAGACCAGACTTTTTTTTAACATCCTTTACCCATGTGGGTGATTATTGAAATTAGGTGATACCCATAAACAGCTTAGCTCAAATTATAAGATTCAGTTAACCTGTTCATGGGGTGTTTTCAAGCATCAACCTAGGTGTGATTAGCTAGTAGTGATCGTAATAGTGTACAACAATTTTTCTATTTACGTAAAATTTTAAAAAATTTGAATATGCAAATTATGACGTTCAAGATGCTATTTTTTAGTGGTCGTAATAGTGCTCATTTACTACAATCAATTAAAATAGAAATTGTAATCAATGCTTGAGCAGTTCTTTATTGATCTCTATATTATTTATCAAATACCATTCGTCCAAAAATAAAAAGCAGTCCAACACGAAAGAACGAAGAATTATTGACGGAATAGTTGAATTTGTAACATTATTAAAAGCTGAGATGGTATCTGCAGTTGTTTTCTAAACCTTCTGATATTTTTCATTTTTCATAGAATTTTTTAATAAAGATAATAAAATAACAATTCGTTATGCCAAGAACGAAGATCCATGGCAAAGTTAAATTAAAATGATTATCTCAATATTTTTTACTAATAAAAATATTTCAATTACGTAATAAACTTTAATAAACTACGCAT